AACAGAATATCATCCTGGCACGACGACGTTGAAAAGTGCTTACCCAGCACAAAGGCCACCAGGATTGGTGTGCTGCTCCACTGCGAGGGGGGCTTTGTGATCTTCATGGCGGTGGGGGAGAAGCACAACTTGATCTATAAATTCAAAGCCCAGTTCACCGAGGCCTTGTACCCTGCCTTCTGGCTGTTCTCCAGTGGCACTGTGCTCTCTCTCCTTTAAATGAAACAGTAAGGTCTCCTATCTTAGTTTAGTTCACCTAGATACTTATATGCACGTAATCAAACCCAAAGTCTCAAAGATCTGAGGCAAAAATTATTAGCTCTTTCAAGCGGTTTGGGAAATCTGCTGATTCTTTGGTCTGAAGCCTTTAGATAGTGATTTAGCAAAATGCTGATGATAGTAAAAACTACAATGAAAGGTTTTGCAAAGACTTTGATTGCCCTAAAATCAAAGTCATGGTATGAGCCATTGTTAAATCTCTTCAGTAGCTGCTGTGGCTTCTGTGGTTGACTGTAAAGGAGCCCCAGAATTAATGTGTTCCACAGGTAACCATAACCCCTTTGAGAAAGAAACAGGAAGAATTCCTTGACAAATTCAGGTTCCAGGCTTTGAGGGAGCTCTCAGTGTTGCCTTTTTGTCTATACACAGACTGTTCTTCATACACAGGTTCTCAGTGTATGACTCCATGAGATGCTACAGAAAGAGCTACTGAAATCAATAAGTCCAGGTCTTATGGCACGAAGTTGTAAAAGCCAATATGACAGATCTCATCAGAATGGAAATGCAGAGACTTTTAGAGTTGATGGGAAAGAAATGGTGTTAAAATCACCAGGGAATAAATGACATTGACTCTGGGAATACACCAGAGAGTCTTCGGGAAGACATCCTGCAGAGCAGTGATGTGTGTGCTGTGATAACACAGTTTGTGGGATGAAGTATTCTGTCTCATCTACTGACCCAGAACATGCTTCACATCTTCACACTGAAGGCTCTTTAGTGTTGGGGGTTCTTTTGTGTGCTGAGGAGTTCAGGGGGTGCATTTTTGGCTTGCATATGGAGCAGAAATCTGCTGTTTGCTTAAAGCAGGGTCTTCTGTGATAAAGCTTTTGCTCTTTGTGAGGTGGGATATTCTCTGCTGGTGTTGTTCAGGTGGTAGAAGCTGGATTTCTTGTATGTTTTTGGGACTCTGATTTGAGGAGTCTCAAGACGTGCACAGGACCTAGAAAATGCTGTTTCTTCTCTGCATGAAGCCTGTGGGCAGACAGGTGAGTCCTTTGAAACATGCAGGGAATTAGCACAAAGGAGAACATACATCCATTCCTACTGGGATGGATTTTTAATTCTCCTGGCATTCTTTGCTTTGGGTTGTGATATGTCTTCAGAAGTTCTGTGTACAGAGGAATCTGTACTTCCTACTTACAACTTTAAAACGATTTGTATTGTTTGTATCAAGGTATTTGGATCTCATAATTATTGGGTCTGTATCTTGTTGATGCCTCTGGACTTACTGTGGTAGCTCCTATTTCTTGTAGCCCATGAAGAAGCTCATATGAGAGACTTCCTGGACTTTGATTTGTAAAACTCCCCTTGTGGGACTTGGTGAAATAGAACACAAAGCCACTGCTGGCAGTTTGGCAGGGAATTGTTAGAAGGCTTAAAAGATCCTCTGTGATACATTCCACATTAGCCAAAGTGCTTTAGAGAGAGACTTTCAGGGCTTGGTGTCTCTATTTTCACTTGGTTTGTAAAGTCTTGGTACTTTGTCAAGGATAGCCTAAGTTTGATTTCTTCCATTTCTTTGGCCAAGATAGGATATGGAATTGATGGTGGATCTAAAAGTGCCACAGCTGTCTCTGGAGCAGTTGTACTATTTCAAGGGTCTCCACTCTCCAAAGCACAGTTAGCACTGAAACTAACAACCTAAGCAGAACTCTTTAAAAGGTGTGGAGGGAGGATATGTCCTGCTGGGAGCCAACAATGAGTGACAGACTGGCTTTTCTGCCCTTCCAGTTTGTCAGCATTGAGGGACAAGAGCAGTTTCCTCTGAGAAATCCTTTAGCTGCTTGGCAGTGCCAAGGGGCTGCAGATCCACTTGTAGGTGCTGAAGGATACTCTGTCCCCTTGGGACAAAGGTTTGTGCAGTGGAGAAGGTCCCCATTCTCTGTTGCCTCTTGACTGAAAAGGGGTGTCAGTACTGACCTCGAAGTTTTTGGGCTTCTGTAGCCACAGTCTGGAGTGACACCCAAAGTCAAGAGCAGCTTTTATTCTGGACAAGGTGGGAATTCTTGAAATGTGACGTTGGTGAATGACCAACAGTATGGAAGACAGAAGGTGTCCTGGATTACGAGGCAGTGAAACAAGCCTGCCACTGTACTCCTGGTCCTATTTTTTGCTTTCTTAATGCTATGAATGACTAGAAATCATAGAAGGAAATTCTGTTAATTTGGAATGAAATCAGAAATACGTAATGGAATCGCTGGATTTCTGAAAACTCTTGTTTTGGTTAGCTTCAGATATCTTGGATATATTGAAACATTAGGGTGATATAATATTAAGAAAAATATTAGTTACGGCATAATAAGTGATGATTCAAAAACCTTTTCAACACAACTGAAGTGGTTGTACTTGGGCAGTAACTATCAAAGCTATACTGGTTTTAAAGAAAACATCTGTAGAAGCATGTATTTTAATTGTACTTGTCTTGTTAATACTACAAAGAACTCAGTTTAGATATAGAACTAGTTCTGGTGTCAATAACACCATGAGGATGTGGATTGATTGGCATTTTAATGTACAAGTGAGAGTAAATCAAGAAACAGTTGCTCACTGAAAAATAAACTAATCCGTTTAAATTTAATCTTTTCTTCAGTGAAACACATCAGTAAAACATTGTATTTAGAAAAAGAAATGCTTATGTAGTTATCTTTTGGCTGCAGTGATGTATCAGCCAGGTACTTCAGTATGTGTATGGTGTGTTATTCCATGTAGTTGTGTCACCTGGGTGTCCCCACCAGGGCCACCAACATGGATTTTATGCCATCTGGTCCCTGGCCTGTAACTGCTGCAGGAGCTGACTGGTGAATTGTGATAGTTTGAATTCAATAAACACTGTCAGTAAACCCCAACTCTCAATGTTTTTTTCTGTGCTCAGAGTTGAAGCAAAGCAGTGAGGGAGGCAGAAGGGAAGACAGAGCAGAGTACAAATAACAGGTCCTTTACTGCATAATTCCCTGAGTTATACAAGAAGTGGGTAAGAGAGGAAAGGAGAGCTGCAGAGGCTGTGGTGTCCTCTGGGCTGTCCTAGATCTCCTTCCCCTGAGCTACACACTCATTACCAGCTAAGAACAAGGGGAACATCCTGACCAGTAACAGAACTGGAACCTTTTCAAGTAAACAAAAACATGGTCATCAGCTGGAGGAAGAGGAACAACTAAGGACTCAGTGTGGGATTGCTTAAAAAACCCTCAGGTGATGTCCAGCATCTGCCAGCTTAAGGTACACCCAGAAGCAGCAATGGGTGATGATTCCTAATATTACCCAGTGAAATCAAACTAAAGGGAGTGTGGTTTGCAAGGTGCTGCCTCCCCATATGGGCAGTGGAAAACAGCTCAGCAGGGAGCTGTTCTGGTGGCTCAATATGTTTAAAAATCAGCCCAAACAAAGGCATCCATGAAACAAGTTCAGCATTTCCTTTTCCACTTAAAGTTCTCCAAGTCAGTTGGGCTGATGAAAGTTTTGGGGAAGAAACTCTCTGAAGAGTTCCCAGAGACTCAAACAGTATTTCTTGATCAGCATAAAACAAAACAACAAAACAGCAAAAACTAGGGGAGGAAAAATCCTCATCTTCACTAACCATGATGGCCCTGGGATTAGGAGGTCAATCAGGTCTGTCAGAGCTTGGTCTCAGTTTCCAAAGCCAGAGAAATAGATATTTTAAGCCCATATAAACTTGACTGTGACTATAGCCTGGGTCTTGAGCAAGTACTGAGATCTTCAGGAAGTCAGCAGGCTCATTGCTCATACAAGGTCTATTTTCTTCCTTGCTAATGACATTTCCTCTGGATTTAGCTTTGTGAACACTTTTTCACAGCAAAAAGAAAAACTGACTTGGACTCCAAATTGTACTCTCTGGGAAAACATGTGAAAGTGTTTATCAGGATGTTCCCTATTTTAATAAACTGTATTTGGCTAATGTTTAACACCCTGCATTTCTACACCCAGTCCTCTGACTCCCTCCCATTTGTTCCCCCCTTCCCCATTCCCTCCCAATTAAGTGGCTGCTACTTCTCAAATAATCAATATGTCAGTTAAAAACATGTCACGGCGTGGCCATTGTACGACTCCCATTCAAAGTTCATGTCATTTAGACTTTCATTGGCAGCTATTTTGTCCCATTAAAAAGTTCAAGACAGCAATTTGTGAATCTTGCTCAGCCAAGTAGAACTGTGGAAAAAAAAAAAAAAAGGAGTCATTTCAAAAGTCAATTAATTGTGGCCTGTCAGAGGGCTCCTCATTCAGATTTTTGCAGGCCTTGTCACGGGCTCACATCTGTCAGCCCCGTGTTTCCCAGGCTGCAATCAGATGCTGTTACACGGGAAATAATGGGTTTATTCACACCATTTATTGGGCTCTATGTGGTAGACACATTTGTATATCATTTTACGGTGTAGCAATTCCATTTACATAAAATACAGGCAATTATGGGAGTCTGGCCAAAGCACTGAGGGAGGGTGGGAGGAGCCACAGTTCAAATAATGAAAGCTAATTGAAAAGAGGCAGATAATTTAGGTGAAAACACCATCATGAGCAATTCTTGATTCTAAATCAGTTCAACAAAACTTTCAGAAGTCAAGTTAGCTGTATTTTGTCTGTGCTTGTATTAAGCTCCTTAATGTCTTTCAGTGTAAGAAAAGAAAACATACTTTTTACAGCACCTATGTTCCATTTTAAAAAGGAAGTAGTTCTTGGGGATTTTTTGTTTTGTTGGTTTTTTTTTTTTTCCCTCAAGGGTAGTTTCCTACCCCCCTAGCTTAGAGAGAGTTTCCACATTCATCTGTAAAGGAAAAGAAATCAAGCAGAGATTGGGGAGGAGAAAAATATCTGGAGAAAAAGCACATTGCATGTAGACAGAGCTAAACATATTAGAATTTTGTAATCCTGGGCACAAGCTGCTGCTTTCTAACCCCCCAAAAAAGACAATCTTTTCAAAATCCAGAGTTATTTTGTGAGACAAGGACAATGTGAAGAAGAAGAAACTAATGAGAGTTAAAAGAGTTCACAGGGCTCACAGAGCCATTATCCTCAGGGAATTCTCCAGCTCCCAGTTTGGGTGGAATTGTCAGCTTTAGTCCTGGGTTTTAACTCTGCTCCAGGTTCAGTATCTGAAAACTGAGCTCTCAACAACAGTGTCTCTCTTTGTCAGTTGAGCTCAAACTCGCAGGGGTTGGCTCCTCTTTCTCTGGCAGCTCGATAAACAAACATGAAATCCTTAAAGCGAGGGGCACAGCCCAGCCAGGCTTCCCCAAAGTGTTCATTCCCAGTGAAGAGGAAATCTCCACCTCCCTTCTTCACCTTGCACTGCAGCAGGGTTCGGATGGGGCCTCTCCACTCCCCACTCCCTTCATCCTGCTGGAAAATCCTGTTCTTCTGCCTGTAGACTCTCTGGACGCTGACATCCACCTGGGACATGTGGTTCTCCGAGTCGTGGGAGATATTTCGGATGGATCCCTTCACCACTGGATGTGAGGAAGACAGGAGTTGGTTATGGAGCAGCAGGGAAGCAGCTCAGGTACCAGGAGCTCACTGAAGGAAATAACTGGAGAGCAGGAGTGGTGCAGTTTTTACACCTCCCACCTACATGTGGACACATTTCTGAGCTTATATTGCATCCTTTGCCCAGGGGATCCCTACACAGACAGTGCTATGTCCTTGGAATTCTGCTTTATGACTACTCAAACCAGCTACATTGAGGACAAAGCATTTATCTTGCTTGATAATGAAAAGTAGTGAAGGATTAAAAAGCACATGAAAAGAGGTTGGTTCAGGGATTCGCTTTTTCCGGTCTGTGTTCCAAGACAATGACTATCACAGGCTGCCTTCCTTACTGACTCCAGGGGACTCTGGAGCTTTTCCTTTCACAGTACTAACAGAGGTTAATCCAAGAAAAATCAGAATATGACTTGGTTGAAGGAAATGAGAGCTTTTTAATTTTTTTTTTTTCATTTAAAGGTTTGGTGTTTTTTTCCACTCAAAAGAAACTGTCATCCATCCTCCAAAAGACACTTTGGGAGATGATGAACAACATTCAGAACTCCTAAAGTGACTTTATTTGAAGCCTTATTTCAAAAATCACATAGCATACAGGTACCTTCTTCTCCCAGAAGGATCCTAGCTGGAAGGGAAGCATAAGAAGCCACAGTCTCTGACTGAAAGCATCCTTTGCATCAACCACATGGAGAATAAAACATTCCATCTGACAGGTGTTTGCTGTCCTGAATCCATCTTTCTCAATGTCACTGCCCCCATTTTTCACAGCAATCAATTATGCCTCTACTAATTAAGTTAGTTTCAATCCCCCATCCATAGAAGGCTCAGAAACAGGCCACCATTTGAGCCACAAGCTCCTCAGCAAATGAGAGGTTTGCAAAGCAATGGGTACATCACCACCCTCCTGCCACAGAACTCACTCATTTGGGTACAGAAAACTCAACAACCCAAGATGCAGAATAAACTTATTTCCGAAGCCTCCAAGAACTTGCTCATTTAATTAGATTTTCCAAGGGAATGCAGAATTTTGTGTAACAGATGTCTCTGCTCTCTCTCCCTCTTTGTGTGATCATTTTTAATCAGATGCAGTCAAGTCTATTGACAAGCTATAATGCACTTGTTCCTGGTGCTCCAAGTTGCTCCTGCACCACTCAGGGCCCAGTGACTGAAGACCCCCATCCCAAGGGTGACTATAAAGCCCCCATTCACTCCCAGTGCCATTTACACTTTCATTAGCAGCTATTTTCTCTAATCAAAAAAGTTGATGATAGCGATTTGTGGGCTCGGGGCAAGGAAGTCAGGCCATAAATAGTCAGTTCAAAGGGCCATTTCTTCTGGTCTGCTGCTGCTGTGAGTGAAAGTGCCCCCATTGTGTGCCTGGGCCTCCACATCTGTCAGTCTCCGGTTGTTCTGAGGGAGAGCACCCGCATGGGAACCAGGGACTTCATCAAGGAAAAACAACAGGCTGGATTGCACCGATTAATTTAGAGGAAGAATAAAAATTACCAGCTAAGGAGCACCCCAAGGGAAGCCTGCTCTGCACTGGGTTTGTATTTGCACAGTGATGTTGGCATCGGGTTTTATGAGCTTTGTAGTGTGGCAACCCCGGGGCAGGGAAGCAGTGATTTGGTGGGGTTTTATAAACACTGAATAGAATTTGTAGTTTTATTTTCCTGTAGGTGCATTTACAGCAATGGAATTGTGGCCACGTGGAGAGGCAGCTCCACAGCTTTAGCTGTTTGACCCAACTGAAGAGGTACAAATGTGACTGTGGAAAAACAGGGGAATAAAATGGACAAACCACTCAGAAGAAAAAAAAAATCCTATTGCACTATCAAGTAGAGAAAAAGGAAAAAACTTTTAAGGTATCATCAAATTAGTATTTCTTATTATTTCTTTTCTTATGGACTATAATTGCTCTGTTTTCTCATAAGGCATGAAACCTAACCAGGACATCACTGAAGGAAGTTTAAACCACCTGAAGTCTTTAACTAAGCTACGAACAACTCACTGCCTCTGCAGAAAAAAAAGCATGTGAATTGTGAGGGAAGAGAGAGGGCATATTTGTAGTTGAGATAAAAAGAACCATGGACAAAGGGAATAAAAATGACCACACCAAGCATGTACAACCTGTGTGTATGAATGTCTACACCTAAGAGCCAGCAGCTCACACCTGTGAGAATTACTCACAGTTCAGTTTTAGATCTTAACTTTCTGCTTGCAGGAAACAAGCCAGTTTCTCCCTTCCAGGTTTCACTCCCTTCCCCCCCCCCCTTCAGATTCCTTTTCACACAGCTATTTTCTTTCCCAGATCAGGGAGCACAGTCAGGACATTATTTGAAGAAAAGTAGCAAATAAATCCAAATAATCAATATGAATGAAAGGCAGAATGACTCTCCTTTAGTCAGCTTACCAAAATCACTGCTGCAAATGGCCATAAGAAGTTCCACGTTGTCACAAGGACGGCACATAGCTAGAAAAAAAGCCAGACCAGTTAGCTATTTTTAACACAATAATATATATACATTATTATACAATAATATGTACATTAGATAATATAGGACTAGTGAATTAGGAAAGGAAATGAGGCAGAACTACCAGGTTAGAGAGAATTATGATCAGATGCAACCCAAATCTCTTGGTGTGCAAATACAACCGCAGCAAAGAAATAAGCACAGGGGATGTTCTCAGGGATGGCACCATCAGGACCCTCCTTGCAGTGACAAACCCCTCAACCCCAAACAGCTTCTGTCACAAGGGATGCACCAGTGAATACCAGGTGTTATCCTGGATCTGCCCTGGCAGCGGAGCCCCGGGGCTGCCCCTGCTCTTACCTTCCACCAGGGCCATCTTTTTGAAGTCGGGGCCGGCCGTGCTCTGGTTGCTCAGCAGCTCGTACTGGAAGCTGGCGGTGCGGCGGCTGATGTCCCTCTGCGGGCTGGCCTGCAGGAACAGGGCCACTCGCTGCGGCCTGTGGGCACTGAAGCAGGACACGTGGTGGGGCCGAGCCCCTTCGGCCTCGCTCAGCACCAGGTGCAGCTGCCCAGCGCGCTCCACGTAGATGTTGGCACCCTGGAAGTCGCTGGCGGGCTTGATGCAGACGGTGGTGTGCCGGGCACTGGACAGGTTGGGCTCCAGGACCACTCGCAGGGCTCGGGCCGGGTACATCCACTCCAGGGAGCCCTCGGTGCAGCGCAGATGGACCTGCTCCACGGCACGGGAACGGGGCTCCCGGCTCAAACCGCTGCCAGGGCAACACCATCGCTCCATCACTAACTCTGCCCACAGCACAGCCAAAACATCCCGGAAAACACTGCCACGTTCTGCCCAGAGAGACAAACCCTCCTGCCAACCGACTCGCTCCTAATGACTCTCAAATTAGCTTCCTCCGGCTGGACTGCATTCCTTCCTCCCTTCCCTCGGGTCACAGCTGCAGCACCGTGCGGGAGGGAGGGGGAGACAGGGATTGCTCACACCTGGGGCTGCACCTGAGGGCACGGGAAGGAGCTCAGCCCCTTTTGCCTGCCTGCAAATCCATGCGTGGATGCCTGCAGCATCCAGGGAAATGCCAGAGGGCAACTTCTCTCTGCTAAACAGCTCCAAACCTTTCCGTGTGGCAGGACTGGCCAGTGCTCGGGTGTCTGGAAAATCCCACCGGTGAGCGGATGGGGGTGAGAGCCGCCGACCCGCAGCGGGAGCTGCACAACGAGCACTGACGTTACGCCTGAAAAAATTTGGTTTAAAGACCTAGATTTCCCAAACAATTTCTAATATTTCCCGTAAAAATTAATCAGAGGAAATGCTTTCGATGGAAAAGCGTCGTGCTGGCCCTGCTCCCGAGCTCTCGCTTTCAGAACAGTTACTTTTGCTGAAGTCAGCTTACGAGGATCAAATCCGCTAAAGGAAAAGTAAAAAAGCCAACAAAACGTCGAGGGAAAGGATGTAACGTATGAGAATACCGAGAATATTTGTCGCCGATTTCCCTGTAAGCGACCGAAGCAAACGCGCCAGCTCCGCGCCGCGGGTGCTGGAACGGGCCGTTCCCTCCCCGGGAGCCCCCGGACCGCGGGGCGGCTCCGCCCGGTGCCCGCAGCCCCTCGTACCCCGGTACCCCCGTACCTGCCCCTCCAGCTGCAGCGATCGGCGGTGCCCGGCCGCGACCCGCCCGCCCCGAGCAGCAGCAGCAGCCGCAGCAGGGCCGGGAGCCCGGGCGAGCCCCGCACCGTGGCCATGGGCTGCCGGCAGCGCCCGGGCGCGGGCCGGGCTATAAGGGCGGCGGGAGGGAAGGGGGTGGGCTGGGGGTGTCGGCCGAGCCCGTCACCGACCCCCTTCCTCCCGCCCCGCCAGCTCGGGGAGAACCCCCCAGCACAGGCGGGGGACACCCCGCCATCCCCCTTCATCCCATCATCATCCCCTCTCCATCCCCCGGGCCGGGCAGCCCCCCTTTGTCTTTGAAATATTTAGAAGTGATTAATAACAGTTTCTCGTCGCCGCGTAGGGACAAACAAAAATCGTGTCAACATAATCAAAGCGAACTTTCGAGTGAGTGATGGAAATTCAATAGTTTTAACTTTTGCTTTCATGATTATCTTTCGGGGTCCGTGCACAAGAAAGCTCCGGGGCCCACGATTATCATGCTAAAAGCCGGGCTGTGCCTGCCAATAATTAGATTTCTATATGCATTGCCCTTTCCATATTTTCAATGAACGACATGGGGAGCTGCTCTTTTGCAGGTCTGGGAGAGCGAGGCTCTTTTAAGCAGCTCCTAAGCGTGGAATCGGGATTTCGCGGCCGGGCGGGGACAATGGTCCTCGGCACGGCTGGGTGGCACAGCCCCAGATCCGCGGGGCTTTGTTCCCGCTCAGCGCCGCAGCGCCCGCGGTCACCGGGACCCTCCGGCCATCTGTTACCTTGCGGTTACCAGCGTGTTCTCACATTGCCCACAGATGCACAGGGGAAGAGGCAGAGTTTGCCCGCTGCCTTTCTGCAGTGAGGGATTTTCCTGAAGAGGAAAAGAGATTTGTCAGAGATACCCTGTTAGACCCTCAACTGTCTAACACCGGACTCCTTGAATCGTACTTGAACCCACACACCACCACTTTTCTGTTCATTCACCAAATACTCTACATTTTTACTTTTATTATCAAAAAGGAATTATAGCCTTGACTTGCTCTTTGCTAAGGACACGTGTTCTTCCCCACACGTACCTGTGTTGTGACTCCTCACACAACCTTGGGCTAAAGTGTGGCTCAAGCTGGTGCTGTGCACAGCTCACTCCAGCAGCTCTAAAAACATTTTAAATGTGTTAAACCTCGATGCTTAAATACATTAGTGCCAGCGATCCTGAAAGGTCTGTGAAACGATTGTCTTACCCATCTAAGAAAAAAACCTTGCTGAATCTCTACGCTCTGACCCCATCTGGAATGGAAAACAACACACAAATACTCTTTAAAAGGTTTGATCCTGGCATAATACAGGAGCTGAGAGGCCAGAGCCCTTCTCTCTTTTGTGCAAATGAGACCGGGGAACAGAGTGGACTTGGGGAGGGAACTGACACTATGATAAAGTGGCCCCACAGGAGGATTTATTCACTTCCAAAAGCCCAAACTAACCCATCTGCTGCCATCAGGAGAAAGCATTGAGCCACTTGATCCCTGAACTTCTTCCAGCAGCAGCATTTCCCCCTTCTGGGGGAAGCCCAGTGGGTTTTCCTGCCTTACTCTCGGCAGCCTTCCCACCCCATCTCCAGTTTCTATTACCACCACATGACACCAAAACATCTCCTGTTACAACTCTTGAAATTGCTCATTACAGGTAGGACATCTGTAGGACTTTCCCCCCTTAGACTAAATAAAGAGTGGGCAGGGTCACAAGCTGTTTTTAAGATCCCAAATCACTGACAACAGAGGTGAGAAGGAACAACCTGGACATTCCACCTCCCCGTTGAAGCCTGGGGGGCTATACCACTTTAATCACATCTATTCTAAAGCCACACAAACTCACCTTCTCCCCAGGGGTGAAGGATGAACCTGCAGCTGCTGAGACAAATCTCTGCATGTTACCAGTGTTAGATTTACTTCCCAATGACATTACCACACTGTCTAGAATTTTTCCCATGCATTGGGGTTTGAAACACCTCGACTTTCCAGCAGGAACACAGCCATGGAGTTCAACAAAATGCAACTTTGTTTTTAAAATCCCTGGTCTCATCCTGCTGCAAAGCCAGGCAGTCACAGGGGTTGTCACAGAGTTGAAAAATCATATTTGCTTTTATGCATAGTGAGGAATAAAAGAATCCGAGCTTAAATATTTTAATCCACACACTTAAATCTACAGAGAAATACAGTACAAACAACAAGACAACAAAAAGATGCAACAGGAAATTCAGTAACAGAGTCAGTGCTGTGAAAAACCTGTATTTACAAACTTCTATGACGAATATGGAGCAGATGTTTCTCAAAAGAGCCTTCTGGGAGTGTAAGTCACAGGGACAGGCCATGGTACAACTCACTGAGGTTTTCAGTCTCCCTTGTGTTAATGTGGAGTAACACCACAGAATGGGGCAGTTCTGTGGCTCTGCTGAAGCTGCAGCTTCTCAGAGACAGAACCTGCCCCAAGCTCTCAAACCTCACATCAGCCCATGTCATGACTGGAGCACACGTCACAAATGTTTATGAGACACAATCACAGTCCCTGTGCCTCTGCAGCAAATAAAGAACAGCCCTCCCAGCTTTTATGACAAAGACTTTTTACAGCAATACTTCCTCATCCTCCCATTTCAGCCTGCCTCCTTTTAAAAACCAAAGGAAAACCAGTGTGGGATTTGAAAATGTCAGTTGATGTCAAGGAAAAATTGGAAAATTTTGATTTAAGTGTTTATTTTGGAGGTTCAAGATTATGGTGGCTGGTTCTTTCTTTGCAAGTAAGATCTCACATACTGTACAGCTGTCAGCAGTGGGGTTTGCTCTGAGTTTCTGTTCTCTGAGGAGAGAGGCAGGAATGATGCAGACGGTGTCTGTTTATGTTTGAGCACTAAATACAGATCTCAAACTGCACCATAAGGATACAACTGATCTGTCAAGAGTCTACTCCTCCCTCACTGCTCGGTGGGAAACAAAAAAATACTGAATCTCAAATGTTACTTTTATCAGATGAAAAAATCTAAGATGTTATAAATTCTATTTTTTGACCTATTGCACTCTAAGCTCATATTTTTCCTGTTTAGTGCAATGTCAGAATATATGGGTAAACACATTCAATGCAAATCCCAAGTTGCAGCATCACAGTATGTGAAGCTAAAGAATAACTTTTTTTTTTTTAACTGCTAACATGCTGGTATTTTCTTGTAAGTAGTTACTACTAATTTAAAGTTACAGCTCTTAAAGGTAACATTTTTACAGTATTCTGATCACTGATTACTAAACAACTGCTATACATATTTGAAGTTACAAGCTACAAAAATAAAAATCCATTCTGTTTAACTATAAAAATCCTAGAAAGAGAAGATGGCTGGAGGTACTCAAAGGATTACAGCAGTTGGTAGCAGACAAAATGGCTTTTGAGGGATGTAAACCTTTAAGTTACAGAATGCAATAAACTCACAATATAAGTTCCCATTTAATCTTAAAAAGAAAATTATTTTTATGCTGAAATCTACGAACAAGCTGCAAATTAAATGATGCAAAAAATTAATTACATACAGCAGTAGGGGTACACAGGAAACAGGGTAGCATTAATAAAGTACAATTTTGAATACATTCATACTGTGAAGGGCCAGATCCTCAGCTAAGAAAAGTCTGCACAACATCACTAGGTTTAGTCAAGGCATGTGGCTTTATCCAGCTGGAATTATCTCCCTGAGATGCCCAAAACCTGAATTGAATATTCAGCACTCTTAGCAAGAAAATTGTGATCATGTCGTGCTTTTAGAACTGTGGCCTCAACAAGAGAGAACATGTAAATTCTCTCAGTATGTTTAATTACCAATGAACAAGTGGTCTCTGCTGTCTCGTCCCTGTGTTCAAGCAGCAGCTCTGATTTCTCAGAAAAAAAAGGAATTTTTTAATTAAGTAGTTCGCATTCAACAGAATCAGTCATGTACTGGTATTTTCAAAACTGAAGACAACCTAATCTACTCCTAACTGAATATTCAATTTTTTCTTTTCCAAAAGGAAGAAAACTGCTAGTAGTCTGAAAGGATTTTCTGTTAGAACACATGCAAAGATTCCTAAATGACCTACCCTTAGACTAACTGGGTTCCAGTGCTGCTCTACCAAAAGCATTTGTTGCCAAGTAAAAAAAGAGTAACTACTATTACACTGGTACCATTGTGCTGCTCACAGCTAAAGGTGCAGTGCTTTAGGCTTTTATTTAGCCAGTGAGATACAATAACACACTATAAAAGCTCTGAGCTTCAGTGCAACACAAGACAGAACCAGAAGGAAGGGGCCAAACTGAAACCAAACCCTTTAACACTCAGTGCTCAGAAGGTGGCGAACGAGGAGGTTCCTCCTCAGCAGCAAGGAGCAAAAACTGTCCTTTCAGAACAGGCCAGGGGGTCTGGGATCCTCTGGAGTCCTGACACCTCCCAGGGGGTGACGGTGACTGGAAAAGCCAAGCAGGTGGGTCACTGGGCTAACAACAGCTGTGTGGAGCCATTCCAACTTCCTTTGCATGAGGATTAATTGGACAGCAGCTCCCTGTCCTGCCTTCAGCAGAGCTTCTGATACTGTCCCAAATGACGTTTTTAGCTGAAATTGAGCCAGCACAAAATGAGTAATTAAATGACTGAGGGACAGAAGTGCTTACAGAGTAGTTGTAAACACCAGCAAGAGGGGGAATAAATTCTCAATTTGAATCAGCTGAGGTTGCACAGAATAAACCTTTACCTCACTCTTGTTGTAAGCACTGCCTCAAGATTATTGTCTCCAAGTGTGTTCAAACGTGGTAACGTTTTCTGCAACCAGGAGAAACTCCAGTCTGCTTTCTGACAGCAAGCACTTAACACTTCTAACTAAAGACAGTGGTGTTTCAAGTTCCTCAGTGATCAAGAAAAGCAAGCCTGGGGGGAAAAGAACCATACGGAGAAACACTGGAAGTGAACATATAAAAAAAGTATCAAATACATAAATTATGCTACAGTTTTTACATTATAGACATGAAATGCAATTCGTAACAGTGCTGAGAAAAATGTTCAAATTTGAACAGAATCCCAAATTAATTTGAAACCAATATATTACTATTGCAGGGAAAGAAAACACAAGACTGTGTTTAAATACTACCCTGACCTGCCTTAAATACCAGGAACAACAGACATACCAAAAAACAGACATATCAAAAAAACCCCAAGGCATAAATGAATGCCATTTACCTCAGCTGTTTTTGAAGACTGAAAATGCAAGTTTGGACTTTTTATGAAGTCCAGACGTGAAGAAAGATCCAGCTGGCATTTGAAATAGTTTAACCCTGCTACGAATTGCTGAAGTGAAAACACAGAGTCAAACAAAGCCTATGACAGGAGGTTCTGTGCACATGGAAACACCCACCACATCCTCTCAACACCTGTAAACAAGCCCAGTGTGAGCCAGGCAGGGAGCTGATCCACTGAAAGGCTTCCCATGCAAACTTTTTGTATTTCATGTCACAGGACTGAGAAACCACAGTAAAGTAAGTTATCAGACCGAACTTCAGTTAAGCTGATAAATGCAGCAATAAGACTTAAACATTGTGAATTCACTTTTAAGTGCTTGACCACTGATGTTATTGTTTGCTCTGTACATTTTATACAAAGGTATGATGTATGAAGATTAACAGAAAAAACAATTAATTACTTGTCTTTTTGAAACATTGCTTTCACTATTTTTCCAATGTTAATGATTAACAGGATAAGGGAAAATTCTTCCACGCAGGACAGGAGCTCCAGCTGCAGAGTCCCCTCTCCCAGACAGAGAGGCTCTCTCTGTGTGGTTTTTCAGGATTCCAAGCTACAGGAGAAGTATCCCCTCCTTGTAGCTGTTTGAACCGGTGCTTTATGCACCACAACATTAAAAAAGCATGGAACAGTTTACAGTCACAGTGCACAGGGTATCAGGCAGCTACAGCTCTGTTACAAACCAGCCAAGAGCATTCCTGCTGCCTTAGACTCTGGGAGCCCACTGACACCAACCATCTGCAGTTGGACTAAAAACAGTTCCACCAAGGGAACTGAAAACAGGCGTTAACCCAATTGGCAACACAGAGGGAAGGAGGATACACTGAAACCAAAGGACAGCTGGAAGCAGCAAGACTTCCCAACAGATGCCAGTGCTAACAATGTGTCTCACAAGAAGGTTTTCTGTCACAGTACAACAGCCACACAGTTACAATGGAAGGGTGAGCCCATGGCCCACTGGGAACTGGACATTTCAACCTTAAAGAGTCATAAATACAATTTCACAAGAGGCTTCCTCGTGCTCACCATGGCCACATTTGCTGCCATCACCATCTGAGACACAAACTTCACCTCCACAAACACGGCCGTTTACCAGGGGGTTTTGCCAAACAAGCACCCAATGAGATGCTACTTTCACTTCATTTCTCCAACAGGAATGATGGATTTACTTTTCCCAGAGGGTTTCTGGACTCCCAGCAACCTGCAGTAAGTGGGAGGATGCACAAACACCCACTGGGGCAGAGAAACCAACTCACTGTTCACCTACAGCAACACAAGGAGCCTTCAAAGCCTGAGCATCACTTATTTCTCTTTTAGATGTCAGGAGCCCAAAGACTGAAGTTTTTGAACAGTTAAAAGTTCTTAGGCTATAAACTAATTTGAATAATCACCTGATCAACTTCAGGTAACTCTTTAAACTGCATCATGAATAGTTTAAAGTAGCCAGTGGTGTCATTTCTCTTGAGCAAAAACTGCCTTTCAGAGTACACACCCTGCTTTTCCAGAGACTTGTCATTTGTTTGTAAACAACAGTTACATAAGAACCAGAGCATATGCTGATGGTAAGAAGTTATAAAAAAAAAGAAATAAAATAACTTAACTGCTAGGATTTTTGCTAATACAAACTGAACCTCGTAACTGAAAAAAAAAAAAAAAGGTAGTGGATTCATCTAACATATTATACTTAGGGTATTTTAAACACTTTTTACATAGATTTACTATTTTTTATCTATATTTACATAAAATAAAATAATTAAAATGAGGTGTATAAGGCTAATGAATATGGAATTTACAAATGGCTTCTGTTTACAGCTCATTACACTCTAATCACATTTTCAGACAGCTATAAATTCACCGAGAATCAGTAGTATTGAAGTTCTAGTACATACACGTTCTACAAGGAATACCATCAAGTTAAAAACACTCTCCAAAGAGGATTACAATTGAAGGTTTTAAAAATACTGACTTTGCCAAGTTTTCAATAAATTATTTTAAAATATAAATAGTTCGTTCACTGTTAATGAAAACATCATTTTACAGATTGCTGAAAAATGGTTTCATTTTAAAAAAACCTAGAAACACAGCCTACTTTACCCAGTGGTTTCACTTCCTGTAAGCACAGAGAAAAAACAAACAAACATGGGGGACTAATGACAAAAGCAGCAACATTTAAAGTTCAGACCAGAGTTCTCAACCTCTCTTACAATCTTGGCTTATGCAGCATAAATTCTCTTCTTACTTGGAAGAGCACCTTCAGTAACTGAACTGGACTAAACTGACATTTTAAACCCCAATTCATCTCTCACCCACTGCAGGCTTAAAATGCCTACAACAGAAGAGGGAAAAGGAAGCAGGTTTTTGCTTTTGTTAACCATGAAGATGTTTTCACCTGAGAAGCTTTAACCTGAGAAGCTTCAGATAGGCCAAACTGACAGTCCCTGTGTACTGTTTACGTGTTCTGAACCTTCAACCATTCATCTTTTTCTCACCTTATATTTATAAGGGAATTGTAGGTACCAATAAGGTGTCTTTGACTCCCTAAGAGCCAGTCAGAAAACAAATGCTTTCATGCTTTTTTCACAATCCAATTAATACACAGGAATGCAAGAACCTGCCAACCTCTGCAAACTCAGCTCTCAACCTCCACACTTCAAACGGACACAGCTAACAGACTGATTTACTACTGAGCATTCTCAGGTAATTACAAGCCAAGAACTTTAACAAGTCTTTAAAAAATACCCCACATTTGTCAATCATCATTATTTCTTCAAAACTTTTCCCTCTGAACAGCCAAAAAAGGCTGCTCCTTGTCCAAGTTTGCCTCCAAAAAGCCTCCCCAAGAACTGTGATGCTGTTATTTACAAAAACTAGCATTAGTCTCTCACTGAACTGAAGCAGAGTCAAGTTACAGGATCATTCAGTGCAAGTCATGGTACAATTACTCTGAGTTGTATCTTGGATACTCAGGATGCCAGGGGTACTTTATGGCTTAAAAAGCCACTGAAAAAGGTCATTCACTGACAGAACATTTCCAGAAACCTTTGGTCCAAAAGCATCTTCTTCTTGCTGACCACCTTCCCAAGAGCTCCCAGATGTTCCACTCTCTCAGAGAACAACCAGAAATGCACTGTACAAACAGTTATTTCTCTTGCTCCCAAGCAGAGGTGGCAGTCAGGAGCAGGTTGCTGTCAGGAAATCAGCCCACATCCTACTTGGTCTGGTTTTCTGTTCTCAGAAAGAGGGCAGGTGGCAGCAGGTCAGACTCCCAGCTGTTCCCCTTTCCAAGGGTAAGAAACATCCACATACTGTGCTGTGTATGTGCAGAAGGTCTGATTCCACAGCAAGGAAGGGCTGCAGCATCTGTCCTTTTTGAGTGGTTAGAGTAACTCACTCCTGCTAGAAAGGCTGGAGGGCATCATCACCAATGTAAAAGGCAAATCAGTTGTGGTAATTCAGCTGTGAAAGTTTTCAGAAGTGTCAAAGCATGGCTTTTTCCTCAGCTCTAGTTCATTCACAAGTATGAACTTTACGACATAAACCTCACTCTAGATCAGGTGTGTTTTAACGAGCTGAAGTTCCTCGCTGTCTCACGTTGAATTCCATGAAATCTACCTGTCCTCATCCATCTGCTCTGTCCCGGGGTCCTACTCAGACAGGCTGGAAGCGTCATCATCCGTCTGTTCCCCCGAGTGGTACAACATCAGAGCGTGAGTCTTGTGGGTGATGGTGACTGTGCAGGGCCCCTGGGCCCAGGGCTCTCCATCCACCTGCATCGGCATCTTCGAGCTCTTCAGGATCAGCTGGGATCAAACAGAACAACACACAATCACAGCAGCTCAAAGGAGCCCTGAAAACACCTTTTCCAGGTCCAATGTACTGATGCCAGGCATGTTTCCAGCCTGGACAGGGAGAAATCAGTACAGAACGAGTTGAACTCACAGGCCACCGGTCACAGCAAGGCCGTGAATTAGGACATAATTAATTTTTACTAAGCAAGAGAAACACTTACCTCAACTGCAAACTGCAACTTCAGATCTGACAGCTGAGTGATTGAGATTCTGTGCTGTGTATTAAAAAAAAAATCTAGGGAAGCAGGTTCCCAACGGGCACTTACCCTCACTGTGTGTGCCTGCCCCAGGCGAACAGGGTTGGCCAGTTTAACCTGGATCTGGGCACAGTGGAAAGAACCATGAACACCAACAACTTCCAGAAGTCCATCATCATGTCTGTGAAACAAAAACAGGACACTCTTCTTAGTGATGCTCAGGAGCTCATAGCACACCTGTCCAAATATTGCACAGTCCTCTTATGGCTTCCACACGGAGAGGACAAATGTTCTACAAACAGGTTTATCTGTTTGTGCTGGACAACAAAGCACACTGAACAGCAAATAAAACCATCAAACCCTGCAATTACAGAGCAACACACCAGCTGGCTTCTGGAAATCATGGATCCATGACTTCCCAAGGCTCATTGTGTTTACTTAAAGCTCACAGTGGACTTCTCTTCAATGAACTTGTAAAATTTTCTTTCTTTTCACTCAGATATTAACCTACAGGAAAATCTTTTAATGGCTTAATTTTTTCAGATTTGGGTAAAGGACCTTGCCCAAGTATTTTTTAGAAATCTTCCAGGAATCTTCCAGGAATCTTCCAGGATCATAAGCCTTGTAACAGAACTACAAAGTATATTTATATATATGGCTTCTGAAGAAGGAAGTCACAGGAGGGAATAAATAACGTTCCCACACATTTTTCTCTTTAATATTGCTCCAGTTTACTCAAGCATAGGAGTTAAAATTTGGACATGTTTTGTTTTTACTTTCTATTTTAACCTCCATTGAGATGTGTTCTTTAAGATTCTGAAACAGATCCATACTTTTTGAAGGCTACATTAATTTGTAACAGCCTCTTCAATGCTACTGCTGTCTGTCATACCAGAGATTTTGAAAAAGGCTTTAAAAAACCCCTGGATGTGTGGAATGCATTTAGTCCAAGTCTCTAACACGAGGAAAATAAATGTGACAGCCTAGGAATCCTTCTGATCTGCAGGTAAGCCTGGCTACATAAGCACAGTCTGCTGGAGGGAATTCCTTACACTACAGGGACTGGTAAAGGAAAAAAGCAAAGCCAAAAATGCACTGGGTACCTTGCCAAGGGGTAAGGTTCATCTCCCATTCCTTCCCAGAGCCTGCAGCCACCTCCCCAGTATCCAATATTCAGCACAATGATGCCTTCCAAATTGGGCAGCTCGATCCTCTCACCATCCAACTCTAGCTTTAAAAGACAAACAGAAGTTAATTACTGTGGATCAGATTCAGTACTTCAGTATAAGCTAGTTATTCTCTTTATGCTCTTTTAATAAGCTTCCACTTGAAGGAAAATTGGCCCTGTACAAACAGAATGTGTTTTCTTTCAATACTCTAAAAAAAAATTACTTCTGATTTCACGAGATATCCTGAGTTGTTGTAAATTTCTGTTAGTAAAGAAAAGAAAAAGAACTCTCACTTATGTATGCCTCTGGTGCTAAGGCAAATTTTATCTGAATATCAGTCCTTGAACTCACAGAACTGACAAAAAATTAGGAATTTTCAGTAAGCTCAAAGACACAAATTCCATGAAGGAAGCTGCAGATAGCAAAAGGAACATCAAAAATACTCCAAGGCCAGACCCACCCTTACACAAATATCACATAGATGTAAAGTGCAAAGCTTCTTCCCTTTTTTTTTCCCCATAACTTTTTACACTCCACTGACTATCCAGAGAATAAGCCAGCTAAAAAAACTTACCTCAACCTTTTTGTTAAGGTCTTTACATTCTTGTACTAAGCAGTCTTTGGTTCCATAAAAAAAATAAACAGCCTACAAAAAAACCCCAAAACAAAACAGGGAGAAAACACTGTTAGAAAAAGATAACACATATGGAGACTATTTTAAACATTCATGTACAGTTATGGCTCTGCAAACCTTATCTAAACCTCATACGTAATATATTTCCACATCAAACTGAAGTTTCCAAATGAGATGGGCTACAACTTGAATCAGAAACTTACTTTCCACTTGAAAAGGAAATAGGCAGTGACTTTAACCCACTAAGTTTGAAACCAAATGAGAAATTCTGAGCAAAAACTCAACAAACAGCAAATTCTGTAAGCAGAGCCAAGGCAGTAACACTTGGGATTGGGCTGGAAATGTTTTTTTACCCATGGAATCCCCTCCCCAAGAAAAATGGGTTCAAACTCTTAAAATTGCACAAAAGGAAGTAGGGGAGTGAAGCAACGTAAAGCAGAAAAGAGCCTTATGTCAAATCCACAACTACAAGGAGGAAATCCCACTTTACCAAACCCACCTTATTGATAATTCTGCTGGAAAACAGAGAGGGAGTCTTCTCACGATGAGCATGGAAATTTAAAGCCATGAGAGCATCAGGTCCTATAGAAAAGTAGTTGTTCATTGTGAATACCTGTAAGACAGAACTTCCAGTTATGGCCTTATTAAATATTATTACTAGGGTTTAAAATTCAGAGTGTTTAGTGGGGAGTTGGTAAACAGAAAAATACTTAGAGGTATTCCACAGAATTCATGTTTATACTTGCAAGTCATACCTTTGGTTTCCTTAAGTTGTAGTATCCTTTGTTTGTTACTTGAACCTTCCATCTGAAAAACAACAGTTGTTACTTAGACTCGTGACAGTTCTCAGTATAAGGCTGCAGTTAGGAATCCTATATCTATATTGGGATCAAGTCAAAAGATTAAACTTAGTTAAATTATGAAAGAGTAAAGCCCTGCAGAACAATTACATAAAGACCAAATCTGGACCTCAGTTTTTGTAGTTCCTTCCAGCAACACTTGTGTTTCTTTACATAAAGTGCTGCAGTGGCCCATCAGCAGAGCTACAGCAGTACTGGGTCCTACACATTTTACCTTTTCGCTGTTCCTTACCTGTCTAGTTTGATTCCATCTGCCTCCATGACATTCCGTAAGATCTGTTCCACAGGGACTTCTCCAGCATAACCTGCCCCCCAGCCCAGTGTGTTGGACAGGTCATTCCCTGTTCCCAGAGGTAAAATTGCAACTTGTGGGATATATCGTTCTTGCCCCTAGGACACAAAACCACTGCGTGTCAGCTCCTGCTCCAGCACTCATTGTCTCCATTTCATCCCCAAATGCTCAGATTAGGTAAATACCATAAATCCTGACAACAGCCTATGACAGAGCAGGGCACTGGGCTGGCACTGTCAGCACAGCAGATGGCACATTGAACTACTTACCACAGGGATAATGTAAAGGAAGGAAATGTTAAACCACTGTGAGAAGGAAAGAGAATACAAACACAATATGGAAACAGTACATTAGGAACACTGAACAGAGTGCTCCTTCAAAGGAATGATGCTTTGGATCTGGGAAGTGATATGAACTGAGAGATGTAACACAGCAGACTGTGAACAACAAGACACCAAAATGCTCTTACAGGCTGAGTGAGGCTGGGTCTAAACAACACATGCACATAATGCCAGTGTTCAACCACACAGAGAAACACACACACACGTACGGGAGGAGAGGCAGTGTCTCGCTTTCAGACTGTCACCCACAGATGGAGCAGGTGACAAACACCTCTGCAGAGCACAGTGACAGAAGCAGACACTCAGAACAGCTGCCTTAGCAAAGGGCTGGGCTCTCCTCACCACAGCAGGGTGAGCAGTTATTTCAGATGTACTATGGTCTTAGAAGTTCAGCTGTGAAAAGCACTTGCAGTGAATTGGCACTGTGGTTACTATTTTTTCAAGCAGAGTTATCAGCCTGGTAACCTGTATTTGAGAGTCATGATAAATGAAGGGAGCAAATAACCTCCTGCTGATAATAACCTGAACAGTATTTACCTAACACCAGCAACTCAATCTGAGCAAAGAAAAACCCAGATTTCATCAACTCTATTGGCTCTGAGGGACAATATATCAAGTGTCCAAGACCATGTAACCATACCCTCATATTCATTAACCTTTATGGTTACTTTATTTCTACTTTATCAGCACACAATAATTCTCAAGATGAGTTTGATTATGCATGAAGTTGTAATAATGGCCTTCAACTACAATATTTCATGTATTAACAAAAAAGCTGCAGTAAAAAAAGAAGACATTGATATAAGAAGAGTAACTTCCTTTTAGCACTAGAAGAAAGTTTATTAGGTAAAGCACTAAAGCCCTTGTAATTATTCTCCATTCTTAATCTTCTCAGGAGTTCTTAGTAGTACCCCATAAACTGGAATTATCTTCCATTTCAAATCAGCAGTAAACACTCAGCTTATTTTTTCTTTCTCTACTTGCTGTTAATAGGTGAGGGTGCAGACAGACAGACTCTTCAGAATATATCATAAGGAGCAGAAGCAAGTTACTGCTCTCATTCATGCACTGGCAATATAACCAGTACAGCTGGCAAAATTATGAGGTTATTATAAAAGATTGAGAGTGCTGGGAGAAGCAAGCAGTCAGAGCACATTAGCCAGTGTCAGCCACGCTGTTTATGACAAAATAAATCTGTTTAGACAAAGAGGAAATAACAATGCATAAAATATCCTGCAGCTTGTTCTTGTCTTGTTTTACAGAAGAGAGCAACTTTAAAAAGCTGTCATATTTTTCCTGAACTACAGGATGCACTTCCCCCAGCCCTCCCCCAGTATGAATAAGCAGTTCTGCAAACATTTCTCTGCAGGCCTATTCAGGAAGATGAAGACAATAAATGCAGGTAAGAGATTAGGGGTAGCAACAACAGCAACAAAACTCATTTAATCGTTAAGACATTTTTAAAATTAAAACCACAATACCTTTATCTTCATTTCATCGATGGCATCCAGGACCCAGCCCACTGTGCCATCCCCACCACAAACAAGAACCCTGACAGCGTTGCAAGGCAGCAAGGTACAGAGCTGGAGGGCTTTAGCAGGTGCAATTTTGCTCAGATCAAAAACCTGGAAGAAAGGGAAATAAGGAATTCCATCAGTTCACACAACATGACTCAGGATTTGCCTCCTGGATAAACAACTTCGAGAAGCTCATTCCAATGCAAAAAACAAAGATCCTCCATTTACAATATCACATTAGCAAATGAGCTCTCCTGACTTTTATGAGCAGGATTTGGTTTCCCAAATTCACAACAGAGTTTCAGCTGTCTCACTAGGATTAAATGGACTTTATTAAACTGAGCTGAGAGAGTCCTCAGAAAAGTCTGTATGTAGAAGCATGATGATGAATTCTGTAAAGATGAAAGACTTCAGATAAAAGTAATTTTAAAACACCCAGCACACAAAGAGGTTTATTCTCTAAAGGATGCATTTAAAACAAATGCACAGTGATTTCTCTTAGGCTGTATTCCATGGTTGGGTTTTGAACTTCAAAGGAAGAGTATTAAGGTGCAGCCAGGAAATCCAGGGAACAACTGCCTGCCTTACGTCAACATCCTGTGCCATCCCACAGGGATTTTAAGGGGAAAGCAACTACACAAAGCAGAAACTGTAAATGCTGACATTTCCACAAGTGAGGATTTAAAATACAGGTTTCAAATTAAGAAGATCTAAATACTTCATTTTCCAAAAAGTGTACCCTGTTTCAAGAGTCAGATATTTCTCATTAACTTAATGACTGCATTATTACTGTAAATAAAAAAAACTGGACTGGTATTAGAATCACAACAAACTTGGGGGTGGGAGGAGCCTCTATACTTTTTGGTTTCTCTTTATGAAGCTGTTCTTTCTAAAGGAGCAAACTGCATGAATTTGCTTCCTACTGATCTTCCACAAGACCCTGCTGCCATTGTGTAAGCAAAGTGATGTTTATTCTAATTTAAACCTTCAGTTTAGGAGAGTGGCTTTTCGCAGCAAATACCTGAACGGGGTTCAGCAGCATTTTAAATTCTCCAAGTAAAGTTTCACCCATGTTGTTCCCACTGCGAGTATTTGCCAGTATGATCACTGGCATCCAGTGTTTTCTGCAGTAAGGTACCACCTGCAAGCAGTGAAAGTCAGTCAGTCACACAAATACTGCACGTTTGAAAGTGTTTTCAGCCTTGATCCAAAACCCACCCCCTGTAAGTGCTGAAAGGAGCAAGTCACCAGTTAGTCTGAAGCAGTCAAAACAGAAACAAATATTTCTGAAGCACCAAGGCTGAAGATTCTGCAGTCCCCAGGAAAATAAACACACTGCAATGTTATGAACACAGCAGTAAAAAAAAAATAAAATATAATCACAAAACATTCAAGAAAGTAACATACCCAAAGCTCAGTGTTGTGGAATAAAAAAGTTCACCTGTACGCTTGTGCTTCAACAACCAAGTTAGTAAAATGACAAACACCTCTGAATTAGCACAGCAAGTACTTAATACACCTTGGAACATTCACCTGATAGTTATTAACCTGACAACGCACTGAGTTCAAGTTTCATTGTGTGTTTGGGGGTTTATTTGGTCCAAGAAGCAGGAGGCCATTACCTTTTCATAACTGGTTTTTTTTTCTTTTCGCATCTGGTTGATTGTAGACAAATAGTAGGGTGGGATAATTAAGTCTTTGAATTCTCCAAATGTACACTCCTCAGTCTTTAAACAATCCACCATGCATTCATCATGCACAGTGTACTGACACCATGCACATCTGGAAAAAAAGACCAAAGAACATGAAAACAACCCTCAAACAACAGGCATGTTGATTCTGCTCAATTATTTTAGACAGACTAACTTTCAGCAAAGTACTTATGTTGGCACACACCATTATAAGTAATATTTAAAGCACATTATAGGGAAAACTCTGCATTCCCTGGAAAACTATGTATTGGGTACAGAAAATTACATAAATTGCTCATGTGCTTTCAAGTCTTTCAAGGAAAGCATTTGAATTCTGTGGGGAAAAAACCTCCAACAGTTGTAAACTAATTTTGTTCTCAGTAAAATATAGGTGTTATAAATATCCTCCTGCATTGTTTGTGATATTAACAGTTACACTGAAAGCCTGTATGAGAACCTGAACTCCTGTCCATCCTTAAAGAGCACAGATAAAACATTGGAGTTCAATTCAATAAAGTACTACTAGTAATATGAATTGATGCATTTCTTAATATTGCTAATACCCCTTTAAATCTGAAATCTCAAAGGCTACACAGCGCAGTACAATGCTGATGGGATTTTGTTATGCAAAACTGCTGTGTTTTTTGACCTCTTCTAAAAGCTGCCCTGGAAAACGGAGTGGAACAAGAGGAAATACTGCAATATCCACTACCAGCCTCTGCAGAATGTTAATCCTCATTTGGTACATCCAAAGCCTTGATTTAAGCAGCTGGGAAAGCTATTTTTGGAGTTCCCCTGACTAATCCAACACACGAGTACCAATGATACTCGCCCTATACCGTGACTTTCTTTTCCTCTTCTTCCTTCCTTTCCCCTTTGCCCCCAAATTCCTCCTCTCCTACACACACTATCAAAGTTCTGTTTCTGAAAGTAATACTCTTATACTGTAATTCTGCTTACTTACCAAGCAGTTTGCCAGTATCACACAGAAGCAAAGCAAAAGCTGGCAGAATATATGCTTAAAAGAGGACATCCTTTGGGAAGGCTGAACCAACACACTGTACCCAGGACCTGGGGCACTATCACTGTATTTTGGCACGACATGCCACAGACAACTTTGCAAGCAGCCTTACTAATGACAGTGAAAGCCCATTTAATGGTTCCTTCAATTTTTAAACACTCTTAGCAGAAACTTTTAACAACGGATTGAATTACAGTAGTTTATAAAACTTCCCATTAGCTTTTTTTGTGCATCCTTAAAAATAAACCTGAAACCTCTACAGGACAGTTGTTTGTTCTATTTACACTGAGCAGATGCCAATTTTGAGATGTGCAAACACACTCTGGTGTTCTGAACTGTGAGCTGTGCCCCCCATTGCTGAGGCTACCCAACCTACAAATGATAAATGTATCAGAACCTTCTTAACGTCACCCCCTAAAACACAAACTCTCTTGGACACAGAGAGTCTCTTCTATGTAATTACACAGCAGCTTGCCCATCGTGCTGGAGTAATGCAATTAAGAGAACGAGAGGACATGAGATGCAATGCCACACTAATCTTAATCTATGACTCAAATTACCCACAAGCATCCATTTTAATTTTAGGCTCTTTGAAGCTGTTGTTTTTTAACGATTTCTTATCTGACTACTGCAGGACCTCCTTGGGGGTGATGTCTACCATTAACCCTGCAGAAAACACAACACCGACAGGGCACCGTACGCTGTGTTACAGAGTCTAAGCCCCCAGCAGTACCTGTAGTCGCAGAGTTTGGGCTGGGTGCCGCACTGCTGCTTGCACACCACGCAGCAGCTGCAGAGGGGGACGTTGCCCCTGACCCAGTGGTGTGGGATGGAGCTTTGGGCTGCCCCGGCGCCTCTTGTCATGATCTCCTTGCAGAGGAAGCGCTGGTCCGCCTTCTTGAGGCAGCGCTCGCTGGCGCGCAGCCCGCAGCAGCCGCAGAAGGCTCCGCGCAGCATGTGCTGGGCGCACACGCAGCAGTACGAGGGCTGCCCGAACAGGTCCGTGTAGTGCCAGTCGTGCTTGCTCTTGCGGAAGATGTCCCGTATCAGCAGCTGCCGCCGCGACCGCTGGAAGCTGCACCAGGCGGTGATGAGCACGGGCAGCAGCACGGAGAACAGCGTCCAGAGCGCCAGGCGCCAGTCGGCCCCGCCCGGGCCCTCCATCCCCGCGGCTCCCCGCACTAACCCCTCGCTCCGCTCGGGCGGGCGGCGGGGCGAGCCCCGGCACGGCCCCTTCGCTCGGCGAGCCGGCGCGCAGCTTCATGAACCATCCTCTAATCCCTGCCCGCGGCTCGGCACCGACCTGCGCCACATCGGGCGGGGGAGACGCTTCCCGCGGGGGCTCCTCCGCCGCCCGCCCGGGCCGTGCGCGGGGCCGGGCCGCCCCCGGGGCTGCTCCGCTCGGCCCCGGCCGCCCCTCGCCCTTCCCTCCGCGGGGGACACGGCGCGGCTCCACCCGCGGCCCCTCGCCCCCCGCGCCGCTCCCTCGGCCCGCGGAGGTCCCCGCCGGCGGGGCAGTGCCGGGGCAGTGCCGGGCCCGCAGGACACAGCGCGGACCGAGCGGCGCCGCGGGACGCGCGGGCGGCGGAAGCGGAAGAAGCGGCCGAGGGCGGTTGCCAGGAGACGGGCGCCGCCCGCCCCCGGCCTGTCGCGACATCGCGGATGTCGCCAGGGGGGCCTCCGGCACCCGCGACAGTGCGTGACGGAGCGGTTCGGCTACGGCTCCGCCGGACCCGGGCCCGAGGCGAAGGCCGTATCACCGCCCTGTTTGTGCCTGCCTTGCCCAACCATAAAGGCTCTTCCCCATAATTTCGTTCTGTCGTGGAATCACGGAATCATCAAGGCTGGAAGAGACCCTTAAGATCATTCAGTCACACCGTCCACCAGCACTGCCACTGTAACCCCTAAACCACCAAAGCACATCACCCAGCTCCTCGTAAACATCTCCAGGGATGGTGACTCCACCACCTCCACCGGGCAACCTGTTCCAGTGCCTGTTTCACTGTTTCACACAAACAGTGAAAAATTTTTCTAATATCTAATCTGAATCTCTCCTGTCTCAGCTTAAGGCCATTTCTGGTCCTCTCACTGCAGGCACGGCAGAAGAGACGGGCCCCCACCTGACTACACCCTCCTTTGAGGTGGCTGTGGAGAGCAATGAGGTCCCCCCTGAGTTGTGCTTTCATTGCCCAACATAAATGTTTTCCCCCATAATTTCATTCTGCCCTCATTCGTTCGGCTGTTTCCCCTGCAGCAGTTCTAAGAGCAGTGACTGCTATTAGAACCTACAGGTTTTTGCGCTTTCAAAACAGTATCTTGAGCAATGACATAAATCCATAAAATATATAAAAAATTTCTTGGGATTTTAGGGTCTTGGTATCTTAAAGCACAGGCTGAAAAATGCAAATGCTCCACAGGTGGGCAATACCCAGGTTTCCAAGAAAAGTCCTATCAGAAAAGCACGTCAGAACAACCTGATCCCTGAACTGCCCCATCCCCACCTCATGCTTCACTCTGGTCAAGCCCTTGTGCCCACAGCACTCACATTTTTAGGTTTTAGATTTTTATGTCCAATATGGCACTGCCCAGGAGAGCTCCAGACAGTCACATTTCTCAAGGCTGAAACTACCTGTTTGCAGTGACATTTGTTAACCTTCATCCTTACTTCACACTGTGTTTACTAGTAAGGACATTTATAATCCTATTTTCTACTAGCTTGTCCTGCAAAGAGAGGAATTATGTGAGTTTTCACTTGTATGATTCTATTAATTTGGTAAAAAACTCTGCTGTGTTTCTCAGCAGTGATAATTTGGCTTTGCTAGAGTTAAACCCCTTTAGTATGTACTTCTCTGCTGGAGTAAAGTTGGAGACAATCTTTGAAAAAGATTTGCAGCTGCCTTTGAGATTAACATTCTGTAATAGGCAATTGTTTCTTTAAAAAACCCTGATATACTTTAGGCACCCAAAACCTTTGCTTGCTGTGCCAAATGTGAGCTGATGTGCTTTATTTTCACAAATCTAAAATACCCAGTGTAACTCCGAAGCCTGAAGCGGAAAAAAAGTCTTCTATTTTCCTTCCCCCAGGAACAGAGTTATGCTGAGAATGTGTGTGCAGATAATAGACTAATTCAAACCTTCAGACCAGCTGTTTTCAAAATCATACTATCGCCCAAATTAAAGCATAAACAAACATTTGTGACCGACGTAGCTGCTTCAAATAGGAGGATGCCTTTGGTCAGTGTTACTCATTTTGGAACAGACTGAGAGAAAGCAGAATCAAAATGAAGAAGTTTCTTGTGTTTGTCTCCTTTTTGGTCCTGATGACCACTGTTACAGGTAGGAGTCTTTATCAACAAACCTGTGTATGTATGTAGAGCTGAAGAGCATATAGGTAGTATTAGTTCAACTTTCTATTTTAGTTTTCATTATTCATATATTTTCATATCTTTCACTTTGAGTACTTAACTTTTTATACTGCAGGGTTTCCACTATTTGATTTTTAAGTCATGCTGTTGTATTTGGTGTTTATCTCTCTGCATCACCACACTGTAGTAATTTGTTGCAAACCCAAAAAGTTTAATTTTAGTAGCTTACTATTTTAATCTTATTTTAGCAAGGTCCTGCAAGTGGAATGTTCATTGCAATCTCTCCTTTTCAACATCTAACTCATTACTTTGAAAAAGAATCCTATAAAGCAACACAAAAAAGAACAAAGAGTTGGAAGAGTCACTAATGCCAGTGGTTAGATGGTGGTGTTATAGTTCCTCATTTTATAGTAACATGAATATGTAGGCTTTGCTTCCTACTAGTAGAAGCAGAGAAAACACAAGTATAAAAATAGTTTAAAATTCCACTCCTATCTCCTGGAATGCAATATCCCCTAGGAAGGGACTGTAAAGAAAGAACACTTTGTATATAGACAAAAATCAGGTTTGGAGACACTTCATTTTGCAACTGACAGGTAAAATATTAACTTTTTAATAATTTCAGAACTAATTTCTGCTTTTCTGTCTTTAGACACTTCACCAATTTTGTCTGAAAAAGAGGCCAAACAGCTTCTGAGAACTCGTCGTGAAAGCAGCCCGAGAAAAGCTGGTTTCCCTGACGAGCCAATGAGGGTGATTTGACATTTACTATTAAACTACATTAACTAAAAAAACCAAAGGCCAAAACCCCCAAAACATTTGTGCTTAGCATTAAGTTTCTACAGATTTAATTCCAAGGAATATGTTATGAGTGTCACCCTTTTCAGCTGCTGAGTTCTTCCATGAAATGTTAAAAAACCCCTTTGCATTCTCTCGGTAAGTGCTGAGTATTGCTCAGGAAATGTTCACTTGCAGAACGTGCAGATTATTTTATCATGGTTCAAAAACGCCAATCAAATTATCCAGAAGAAAGTGGCTTTTCATTTATGGAAATGGGGATTTCATCAGGTTGTCCCTGAAAAACTAAATAACAGGAAATGTCTTCTGCTTGCAGTACATTCTGCACTGTGGGCAGAGAGGAGATGCAGGTGTCAGTGGTCAGTGTGGAGATTGAGGTAGTTCTCAACTAGCTTTTAAAATCACTTTCGTTCACTTATTTATGAGTGCTACAGATAGGATTTTTTTTATGATACTGTAGGAGTTTTTAGTATCATTTGGGTGTGTGTGTGATATCTACACATATTTATTTCTAAAACCCGTTACAACAAAAGAAAAAGTAAAAGAATTAAAAGGCCTTCTGTTTTACTTGCTTTGACAAGATGTAGCATATAATTCTGCACTTCTCAAGGGTACTTAAGGTATTTTAAAATTACTGCCTGCTCCTTTCCAAAGTAAATAAACTGAGCTAAAATTACATGGTTCTGAAGAGGCAAACCCCACAGAAGCCAGAAGCACCAATGGACTGTGAGTGTGTGACGAGTGCAAGGGGCTCAGTTTGGCAAGGTACTGAACACCCCTGAACTCTGTAAGACATGAGGAGCACTAGAGACCTTGAGGATTGAGCTCAGACTGTGCCAGGACTGTGGAGACAGCTCCTCATTTTCCCTTTCCAGTGGGTATTGTACACCAGCCAAAAAGAATCCACTTGGCCATGCACCACTCTGGATGGACACACTGTTTGTCAGGTGTGACACCACGACAAATCAAAGCTGTCACAAGGATGTTGCTCCACACTTGTTAACAGCCTTGTACACTGAGGATTGCACAACAGAGCCAAAACCCACAAGGCTTCACTGCTGCCCACAACACTCAGGACTGGGTTGGTTTCTAAGCTGTTGTTAAATGAGCCCTGCAGTTTTTGCAAATTAGCAGGAATACAGCTCCCATCTGTGCTCATGCTTAATATACCACCAGGATTAATGTTATATAGTAAATATAGCAGATATTGAATACAAAGTAAATAAAGCAGTAGAACAGTTGGGTTGAGGTAAATCCTGTATTGCAAGAAGTTACAAGCAGACATGTGACATTTAGTCTATGGTTTAGTTTTAGGGAGTCCTGTGAGGAGCAGGGAGTTGGACTTGATGATCCCTATGGGTTCCTTCCCATTCCAGACACTCTATGAGTCTATGGCACTGTGTGGGGAGAGTAGGGAGCCAGGGCTAGAGAAGTGTTGTATCACTGACTCTGCTGCTCTGTCCTTGCCACTCTCCATCCTACTCAATTAAGAGCAAACACTTGGGAGGAATTCCAACCTTCTTTTTCTTTTTTTTTCTAGACAGCAAAGTTGACCTTCTGTAAGAAAACCCAAACATAAGAGTGTTTGTTTTGCTCACTAATTGTCAAGGTTTTCAGTAGCAAAGGAAACATCTTCTGGTAAAAAGCCAACCCTTGCTGCCATGTGGAAAATGGAGATTGTCCTTGTGAGTGAAGGTGCAAGGCTGCTGCATCCCCGTGCACAGTTCTACCACTGGCTCAAGGAGAAAAACTGATTTTGTATGGATGCTTTGTAGCAGAATGAAATGATTTCTGGGATGAACCCACCTCTGTTCATCTATTTTAAGCAAAAGCTGTTTGTACTAGGCCAGATCATGCTGAGCTGGGGAATGTAATTTGCAATTCTTTGTGACACTCTTTGACTTCCACAGTGCTGCTGGAGTCAAAAACCTGTTCAGCTACAAACAGCAAGATCTGCCCCCTTTGTTTATTACAAAAATGTAATTTATGTTGTCAGCATGTTTTAATCTTACTTTGACTGAGATCCTACTTTTTATACCATGGCCTCTTCTCAGTCATATAGTTCTGTTCTCTGCCAGCTCCTAATGCAGTCTCTCACCAGGGACTTGAGCCAAGTCTCCCTGTGCTGTGAGGAGAAAAAGCCCAGTAAAAGGCAGGAATCTAATGCTGCCTGCTGGCACCCAGGGTACCCACCCTCTGCTCAGCACAAAGAG